AGAATTGCTCTTTCTACTGCCTTATTCTGGCAGGATGGTACATTTTATAACTTGTTGATCAGTTCCTGTTCTTTCCGGTCTTGAAATAAAATCTTAGTCCTTTTGGTGCCCTCAGATGTTCTGACCTCCTTCCATGAATTTGTGATCTTTGCATTCAGTTAATACAGTTAATCCAGAGCACAGACTCAGGAGTCAGACGCCTGAACTTGAATCCTGGCTCTGTCATGTATTAGCGCCGAGATCCTGTGCAATCCACTTAACTTTTCTATACCTCAGCTTCCAAACTGGAAAATGGGGATAATAATAGTGTCCTACCTCATAGGATTCTTGAGAGGATTAAATGAATTAAGGCAGGTATCCCCAGCTTTTTGGAAGTTTGCATTACATGATTTTGCTTTTACATAAAACCTACCTGTTTCACTAACCAAAAGAAATCTGAAGAATTTCCCTTTTACGAAAAAAGGCAAAAAGCACAAATAACGTTCAGTGTTTGTTTTGCAGACAGTCATTACAGAGGCAGCAGGCACCCCAAGCAGCAAGAGTGGCATCGCCAAGCTCCTTCCCTGGGGACTACACTCAGCATCACGCCCCTGTAGCTTTGAACTGTGTCTGTGGGCTTTGGTGCTTTATCTTGATTTATTTTGTGCATTTCTGCTTTTACTACGTTAGTGTTATTTTTGGTTTTATGTGTTATTTGGTATGATTTGTTAGGTTATTTTTTGGGTCTAGGAATGCTCAAAAATTTTTCCATGTAAATTAATCATAATTGCTTCTTACCTTTATGCCGTTTTGGCTTCTGAAAGGTTTCATAGGAACACTCTATGTTTGAATATCCAGGAATGTTTGTACTCGTATGTAAAGAGCTTAAGATAGTGCTTGGCACTGAAGAGTATAAAAGTGTTATTATTTTACCCAGAGTCTATTGATTGCTTGTACTCCTCATGAATTAGAGTGACTATAAGATAACTTTAAGCTGTGTTCATGCCTTGTACATCCCAGATTACTTTGATCCATTCCTTGGGAAATGATTGCAGTTGTGCTTGGCTAAGGTACATAAAACCCTTTTTCTTGTTAACAAAGCAGTTACCGTAGCCTAATTCCATAGTCAAGTAATTGAAAGGCTTAATCCTGATACAGTAGGTTTTCTTTGAGGTCCTGGTAGCTGTGGTGGCTGAGATTACCTGTGCACACTTCCCTGGAGACGTATGTCCTATATATTTTATTGTGATCCAGCAGAATTGGCATATGTCAAAGCATATCTTTAGACTCACATCATCTAGAACTTTTAGTCATGGCCACCTGACGTCTTTCAAAATAAATTTGTATTATCTCTAAAGCTTCAGATAATTTATATTGCCTGTATCCATCTATGTTTATCTATCGCTTTATCCATCAATGTTTGGAAGGTAGTGGTAGACTTGAGATCTGAGATGAAATCTGAGACCCTTGTAGGCATCCTTTCAGGTTGATAGGATCCCATGGAGCAGTTGAAAGTTGTCTTTGCCATCCTTCACCATCAGGCTTTGATACTAAAAGAAATAAGGCAGATATATGTCATAATGGGCTCATTCTATAAATACTCTTTTGGATCTTGTTTTAACAATACATTGTGAATATGTTTTAGTACAGTGGTTATAAGCAGAAGAACTGATAAATGTGAGGGATTCCAGGTGGGAAGCAAGGCATGTCAGAGAAACTCACAGCAGGCAACTGCAGCTAGAATACAGCACGAGGGAGCAAGTCGGGTGTGAGTTGAAGCAGGTGAGGCAGGCAATGGGCAGATCATGCAGGGGCTTACAGTTATGTAAGGTCATGTTACAGTCATGTTAACAGGTCATGTCGAAAGATTTTAGATTTTATCCAAGGACCTGTGAGAAGCTATTGAAAACTACTAAGCAGGTAGAGTGATGCTATTATATTACTCTAGCTGCAGTATAGAGAACTGATTATTGGGGAGAAAGAATGTATTAGAGGCAAGATAAGTGGTTTTGGAAGAGTGTAAGTTGAGATATGGTATTGACTTGTAAGGTAGGGATCATAGAAGTATTTAGGAGGTAAAATCTACAGCGCTTGGTGACTGCCTGTAGAGCACAAATACGAGGAGAAGGTGTAATGATAACTGCTTAAGTTTCTGGTTTTGCAGCTGGTAGTGCCGTTTGCAGAGATGGAGCACTAGAGGAAGGCTCAGGTTTAGTGGGGGACATTATGACATGTTGAGTTTTGAAGTGCTTGTAATCCAAGTGGAGATTTCCAGTAAGTAGTTGGATTAAATGCTTTGGAGCTCAGAGAAGAGGCGCTGTATCTAACAGTGCAGCTTATGTCACACTCATTGAGGCTTCTGGCTTGGTGCTTCCTCCTTGCCTTCTTAATCAATTACCTGTGTCTGCATTATAAAAGCTATTGATTAAATTTGGAGGACCTGGAGCAGTAGAATGGGGTAGGAAACTCAATGCGTCATGGTATATTTTAGTTCTTTTCTGCCTCTTTCTCTAAGTTTCTGAAAACAGAATATATAGATATCCTGCCCTGGCATGTTGCCTCCCATATTTTGAAAAAACTTTAAAAAAATTCTGCTGTATATGGTACCTATTCGGCCACCCTCCCCTTGCACACCTGCAATATTAGGCACACACTATCCCTGTATATACCTCTTCTCTGACGCCTGCCACCTCGAGAAAACTTTAGTCTCATGTTACATACACAAGCTGGGGTTCAGTTTCAGAACCCAGCTCATGTAGTCCTGATCTTTTAGTTTTTTATAAGTTTTGGTGGTGGTGGTGGTTTGTCGTAAATATTTTGGTTACTTGTAATTTGTTTTCCACTTCCTTGGTTCTGTAGTTCCACTCCACGACCCTTAGTTCTTTCTGTCTTCACACCATTTCCACCCTAGGTCTAGCAAGCACCTGTCCCTGTGAGGGCCAGAATGGTGGAAGCCCTGGTCCCCTTCATAGTTTATTTCTCAGCCCTCCTTGGTGAACTGCCATTATAGTAGAATTCTAAATGTGAGCTCTTGATTACAGTGTTTGGTGTTTGCTCATCCTCTCCACAGGCGCAGATTACAGGGCAAGTGGCTTCAGAGTTTCCGGAGCCTTTCTCTCAGTAGCCTGCCCTTGGGGAACTTTCAGGATATTGCCCCTTTTTTCTTCCAAGCTTAGAAGTGGAGGCAGCACTTTATCTGCAACAGTTCCCAAGGTCACGATGTTGCTTTGGGTTCTCTTACTCACCTGGATAATTGCTGCTTCTGCAGCCATGTTCACGCGTACTAATGTATTTGGTAACAGAGAAATTACAGGTGATCTTAAAGGTTGAGGCTCCAAAGCCCTCCACAGCTAGCTTGTCCATTCTTACAGCACCTCAGTGGTGTGCATTACAGTAGTGTACTCTCTCCCCACCTAGAGATTGGAGTAGCACACCCTTGAGACTCTAAGCCTTCATCTTTGTTACTTTGGCAGTAAGGCAAATCTGCCTTTCTTAGGACTTGGGCCCTTTATCTAGGTATTCTGTGATAGACCCTTGAGCTGTATTAGAACTCCCAGTTAAATTTGAAATATGAGCCATAGAGCATTCTCTCTTTGCAAAGAATGAGATGATTTTCCCAGAAATGCTATATCAGCCTTTAAAGACCTTTTCTTCCCAATCATTTTCTGAGGGAGTATAGTAGGTGTTTGGTTTTTTTGTTTTGTTTTGTTTTGTTTTTAGATTTTTTTTTTTTATTGGGGAATTGGGGGAAGGGAAACAGACAAGTTGTTGTCCTTTTGTTCTTCAGTCTAGTTGTGGAGGATGTTGCTTCACTGGCCCAAGCTGGCACCATCATTGCGCTCTTCCCAGGTGAGGCAGATCAGTCACCGGCTTCTGGACGGCTGCTCACGGTGGCTGCTGGCCACTCACGCTGGCTGCTGGCTATACATGGTAGCCCATGGCAACCCACTGCAGCAGGGGCTGCAGCCTAAGCCGTCGCCGGCGACTCACGGCAGCCCAGCTCCAGGTTGAGCTGTTGTTCAGCATCTTAGCTGTGGAGGGCAGTGTCACTGGCCCTCATATGTGGGATCCGAACTGGGGCCCTCTGGCATCCCAAGCCAGCTCTTAACCATCGCACCACTCGGCCGGCCCCCTGAATCATTTTGACTTTGGGGAAGAACCAGAAGTCACACAGTGCCAGATCTGGTTAATAAGGTAGATGAGGACACACCATAAAGTTTTTATTTGACAGAAATTGCTATATACCAGAAGCAATGTGTGACATGGTGTATTGTCATGATGGAGGATGATTTACTGCGTACTTTAAAACACACCTCTCAAACGTAGCTCATACCCAACTGATTGCACCAAGCAGGTTGAAACTTGTCACACACTATTACTACTAAGGTTCAGTGCGCTGCTTCCCGTATTGAAGATCCCTACCTTTCCGTTGAATGGCACTTGGAAGCAGCATTCACCATATTTTGTGATCACAACGGAAAGACTCCGTGTCACACATCGCTTCTGGTATACAGCAGTTTCTGTCAAAAACATTATGGTGTGTCCTCATCCACCTTATTCACCAGATCTGGCACTGTGCGATTTCTAGCGCTTCCCCAAAGTCAAAATGACCATAAAAGGTAAACGTTTTAAATCGATTCAGGACATCGAGGCAGCCACGACAGTGCAACTAAAGACACTCATAACAGAGGACTGCCAGAGCTGCTTCAGAAAGTGCCAAAAACGATGGGATAAGTGTGTTCAAAGTGAGGGGCAGTATTTTGAGGGGGGATTAATGGCAATGTGTATTTTACTGTAATACATTTTTTTTAATTTAAACATTCACCGTATTTTTTTTATCACACCTTGTACATATCCCATTTTATTAGTTCTAGGACTTTGGAAATTTTTAGCAATGAAGTTTTGCATTGCTCCTATTTATTGTATAATACACTCTTACATAAAGGATTTGTTTAGAGAATTGTTAATGAAGTTTATAATTCTCTTATTAAAATATAATGTTTAATTTTTTTAAATCCTAGGAAGCACTACAAAGGATCATTTCAACTCTGGCAAATAAAAATGATGAAATTCAGAACTTTATTGATACACTAAATCAAACACTAAAAGGAGTTCAGGTATGAATTGTTTTTTAAAAAAGATTATGTAAATATGTCACAATGAATGATTGTTGGGTCAAATCGGAAGTATAAATATACTCTATCAAATTTAGATTATAAACTAATGGGGAGCAGGGTTTTTAAAGGGCAGATAAATAAAAATGCTTTCTTTGCTATGCCTGCATTTTCTAAGGGAAGATCAAGGAGGAAGGGAAAACAAACTCTGGAATAATACGTAGTAGGGAATATTATAGTGCTCACTTTTGTCCTTTTCCATTTTGTCTTTCCTATTTTTAATTAAGAGCAAATTGTACCTTTCACTTTGTATGTGTGTGTGTGTGTGTGTGTGTGTGAGAGAGAGAGTGAGAGAGAGAGAGAAAGAGAGAGAGAGAGAGAGAAAGAGAGAGAGAGAGCGAGAAAGATTTTTAAATATTTTATTTCATTTAAATTTGTGCCTTTTCAAAAGTACTGGGAAGCTAAGCATTTCTTTTATGGTAAATAGTGGAAAAAAAATGTAGATGGTAAGAGGTCTGCTTGTAGAACTAGATGAAGGTAAACATAAAAGTAAAAGGTAAGGTGCCCAATAAGGAGAGAGAGGAATACTTAAATAATTGGTCCCAGATATGGGGAAATATTCATACTATAAACAATCAAATGTTGATGGTGGAAGTTACCTTAAAATAATGTGGTGCTGCTTTTCCGTGAATGCACCTTCCTGAATTTAAGGGTCATTTCTTTGTAAAGTAAGCATAGAAGATTTGTAAGACACTTGTAGACAGTGAATCGTTCTTGTGGTTTTTGTTTAGACCTAAGTAATTGCCCGGTTCGTAGCCTGTTAAACTTTATGGTCATTGTATTTTCTTTACTTCTGAATTTATTGTAATTGAAGTTAGTTGATTATGATCTTCACCACTTTAACTATCTTTCTTGAACGATTTTATTGGAAAATTTGGTGAATTTACAAACCCACTTTCTTTAAGCAAAGCTAGTGGTTTTAAAATTCTTGACCTGTGAGTAAGAGAATCATTACATTCGACATGTGGAAAAAGAGACCGTAAGATAGAGCTAGTCCCAGATATTTTTCTTATTGACAAATGAATAGAACTCCGCCTTGGAATCCAGAAAAAAAAATAGAGGAGGATTTAAGCTACACTCGTCACTGAAGGTGGAGGCATGAGAAGTAGTGGGCAAGAGACCATAAGAATGTTATTGAGGGGAAGAAGTAGCCCAGTTCCTTTTGGATGAATAAACTGAGGCCCAGGAATTTAAGTGGCTTGTCCAGGGTCCCACTGTTACTGACTGGTTAATGTGGGATTTGATTTATGCCTTCTGCCTTCCAGACTGCACATTTCTTCTTCCTTAGCTTGTTTTTACCACTGTAAATAAACTAATAAAATGATTAACACCATTTGTGGTAAGATTCCAGTGAGATGATGTCTTATTTTTATAAACATTGTTACAAAAGTTTGGATTATGAGATTACAATAGATTGTATGTATTATTAGTTCTCTTAGTGCCAATTTGCTTCTCTTAACTGAATGATTCATGTAAGTTGAAAAATGCCTTAAGTAAATTTCTTCTCTCATAATTGTTGCAAGTGTGCATATGGTTTATCTAGGGATTTCACAGATACATTAAATTATTTCTTGGGGAAAGAATAGCATCTTGCTTAATGAGGCACTGAGGAACTTGGGGAAGTCAACAGGCTTGAAATGCTGTATTAATTCTGCCACTAGGAACTAGTTAGGCAGCTTTGGGCAAGTCACTTAATCTGTATTTTATTTTATAAAATTTAGGAGTTTAAAAAAATAAATAAAACTTAGGAGTTTGACTACAAATTCTAGTCAGTAAATGATTTCTGAGGTTCCTTCTAGCACAAAAATCCAGTGTTTGATAAATCTTTTAGGATACAGAAAGGAATTCCTTAGGCTTTCAGTTCTGCATATTTTATGTAAATGCAGTATTTTAGACAACCTGAAGATTTAAAAAATTACACAAAATGAGTCCCATCCCTGTGTGTCCAAACTGTTCATTGAGAGTTACGGAATAAAAATCTGGAATATTTTATTAAAATGTTTCACTGATGATTCTGATACACATCAAAGGTTGAGAACCACCAACTCAGGGTCTGCCTTAGCGCCCAAAGGTCTGGACACAGCTGACAACCTTAAAACAACCTATCACATTGTCCTGTGGAAGCAGTGTTATAAAAGGGGTGGAGCGTATGGGCTAGTCCACAAAAGGCTGATTGACTCATAGCATAGCTGAAATGGTGCTTTCTGCATTAACAGCCAGCTGTTTGAATTTATGTGTTTTTAAAGCCTTATGTCAAATACTAAAATTTTGTTATTTTTATGATGTTAGGCTGAGGTAGTTTATGAGTCTAGTCTCTCCTTTGATAAGTATATCTTAGTTGTTAACGTTTAACAGCTCTTCAGTAAAATCATTTTGTTTTGTTTATTAAATAGGAAAATTCTTCTACCATACTTTCAGAGTTAGATGAAGAATTTGATAGTTTATACTCTATATTGGATGAGATGAAAGAAAGTATGGTTAACAGTATAAAGCAGGAACAAGCTCGTAAATCACAAGAGTTACAGGTGAGATCATACAGCTATTTAAATATGAATAATTTCAATTTAATGCTTGATTTATTGAAAGCAAAAATTAGTGAATTTCTGGGTAACTGTACTTTTATATTGCAGAAGAATGATTTTTAACTTTTTTTGGTCATAGATACCTTGTTTTAATTGTAATAAAAAAATGTAAAATTTACCCTGTTAACCATTTAAAAATGTATAGTTCAATTGTGATAACTATATTTACATTGTTGTGTAACAGATCTCTAGAACTTTTCTGTGTTGCAAAAACTGAAACTCTGTACCTATTGAACAACTGCCCATTTGCCCCCCCACTGCCTGATAACCACTATTATATTTTCTGTTATCATGATTTCTATCACTCTAGATGTCTCCTGTAAGTGGAACCATAAGTTTGTCCCTTTTATGACTGGCTTATTCCATTCAGCATAATGTCCTCAAGGTTCATCCATCTTTAGCATGTTCTAGGATTTTCCTCTTTTTGTGGCTGAATAATATTACATTATATATATATATATATATATATATATACATATATATATCACATTTTCTTTATTCATCCATCTGTCTATGAACAGTTGGGTTGCTTCCATCTGTTGCTTATTGTGAATAATGCTGCACTGAACATGGGTGTGCAAATAATCTCTGAGATCCTGTTTTCAGTTCTTTTGGGTACATACCCAGAAGTGGGATTCCTGGTTCATATGGTAATTCTATTTTTAGAGTATTGTGATAAATGGAGTACTAAGAGTGTGCTTAGCTGAATGTATCTGTAACTTGATTCATAAACTTTAGCTTAAGTAGTTAAATATCATCAAAAAATTTAGTCTTTATTATAGAGGACATTGTCTGCACATGGATTATTTTGATGTTTCAATTTAAATTGATGATTTTTTGACTGCCTTGATTGGGAAGAATCTTTAAGTAAATATGACCCCTGTTTTTTATAATTGCTTTATTTTCTTTTGTGTTTTTAAATGATTTGTTTGTCTGTATGCACTTAAGCTATTTTGGACATATTATGAGAAGATGTTAAGTACAATGGATTAAGATAATTAAAATTTGTTAAAAATATAACTAGTGATTACCTTGCTTCAATAGTTCTTGAAAATATTTTTGTTCAATTATTGCTATTAAAATTGTAAGTTCATTATAACAGTATATACATAAGATTCTAATGGCAATAGGAATTTTTAATGATTTTTTTTTTTCTAGAGTCAGCTTAGTCAATGTAATAATGCCCTGGAGAACTCTGAAGAACTGCTAGAATTTGCAACGCGGTCATTAGATATAAAGGAAGCGGAAGAATTTTCAAAGGTACCAAAAACAAAACAAAACAAACAAAAAAAAAGCTAAACTAATCCACCTAAAAAGGAAAGTTTTGTTTAAAAAATGGTATTTTTCCTTTTAATTTTGGATTCGTCAGTCTAAAAAAATCTAAACTCTAAAAAAATCTAAAGTCTAAAAGGAATATAAAGTCTAGTTTTGTATTGCTTTTTATAAGCTGATGGGGAAAACATTATCGCTTGATGCATATGAGCACTGTAACTTCTTGAAATTTGTTATGAAATGTTCCACTGTTTAGCTTAAGAAATTGAATGTTTATTAAAATGTGAAAATGTAGGTCCCTTATTTAAGGGGTGTTTTGGTATGAAAATATAAACAGCAGAGCAAGAAGATTGCTAATGTTTTACCCTAGGTTCTGGTATTCTAAATTCCAGTTTCTAGTTCTTACTTTAAGTGGGGTTTTTAAATGATTGCCAATTTATCAAATCTATTATATTGAATATAGAATAAGGATGTGGAATGTATTTTTTTAAATGATATGAAAAGCGTGGGAAATTAAGCTGTATAACTAGCAAAATATATAAAATATTTGAGCTTGAGATTTCTTGAGCTTTGTGGACTATGTATGTAATGAGCTGCATTAATGTTAGAAAGGTGTCTTTATAATCCATTTGTGTCCATGTATTCATCTTATGTTTTCTCTGTGAACTTGAAGATGGAAAAACTTCCTTGAGAAGGTAACATTTGTTGGCTTATTTCCCTACATTTTGAAAATGAACTTTGAAAATTGATTCCTTTTAACAAAATTAATCAAAACAAAAGTTATTTTTTTGCTATAAACCGGTGAACTAATTAAATCTCGAATTTGGAGGTGGTTTGTGAGGAAGTTCATCTTTGCACTTGGTAGCACTTATATAAAGGAATTATGAGGGAAATGTATAATACTTTAAGGCACTTTAAAAGTATAGATATGTCACTTATTTAGAGGGCATTTATGTGATAACCTCAAATATCTGGAACATAGCCAAAAAACATGCAGAAAGCAAAAGGTATCTGTCATCAAAATCAGCATCATAGAGTTCATGGACAACAGTTAATAACCTCTATTCATGATAGTTTCTAAGAGTCTGTTGACTATTAATATGTACATGATAATACTAAATTTTTAGGTTTTTTTTCTTTCTGTTCCTAGCTGTCAAAAGAGTTCCCTTCCAGTGGTCTAGGGCAGATGTAAATGACAGGCATAATCATAGCAACTAGAATTAATAGCTGAGATCCTGAGAGTGAGGAGGAAGACAGGAAAACTATAAAATGTGTGCACAAGTACTCAAAAATAACTTGAATCCAGTTGCATTTAAATAAGGACTGATGCTCAGAAAAACTGTGATAAAAGTTTCTTCCAAGTTTCTCTTTTCATAGACATTCAGAGTCCTTCTCTCCCCTTCCTTTCAAAGGCTACTGTTCTCTCTCTCTCTCTCTTTCTCCTTTGTTCTTTCCAGTTTTGTTTCTAGCTTTGTTAATTAAAACTTGTTCCCAGCTATTGGTAAATTGGAAAGGTTCTGATAAAATAAATCACATTGTGGTTTAAATATATTTTCTTAATGTGCCACTTTGTTTCACATTTTACTGTTTAGGTTTTGTCTTCCAGTATTTTGCAGCACTGCTTAATAGCTTAAACCATTCGGAGATGTAGTGAAATGAATTATTTGTGTTTCCAAGCCAGAAATCTGAGTTTCTTGTTCAACAAAAATGCTTAACTGAGAATTGCTTGTAATTATTTTCTGAGTATATCCGAATAGCATCTAGATAATGGTTTGATTTCAAGTCAAAAACTTAAGTTCACTTTCCTGGTTTGCTGCATGGATGACAGACTTGCTTCAAACACCTAATTGCTGACAGATAGGGAAAGATGACTTTGAAGATGAATTATTGGACTAGTAGTATATTGTTAGATATTTGGAAAAATAAATTCTTCTAAGGTACACTATTTGCAAATATCCCATATTAAAGTGATTAAATCAGATTATTATGAAGAGTTCATGGGGGTAAAAAAAATATCATAGGCTAAAACCCAGGCCATGAGTCTTTTTAGTCTTCGTTATCTTCAAAAAGAGAATTTTAAATACTAATATTTAATGATCATGTTGTGGTACCTCAGCATGTGACTTGAAGATGAAGCTATGCCGTTTACCAGCATTAGAAAGTCTGAAAGCGAGCAAGTAAGAATAGCACAGATGGAAATGGACTTTAGAACACGCTCGCACTAATCGTTTTAGACGCTGGAAGTTTCTTTATAGTAAATATATGCAGGAAGATCACCAGTAGATGAAATCTGGATCAGTAGCTTTATTTCTGGAAGGACAAGTACCCAAAACCCCACCAAACCTGTGTTCCCTGCTAATAGCTGGCCTGCAGAACACTGTGTGGATCCTTGGCCAAAATTAGTATCCCTATCCTCCCACAACCCCAAATTTTGAACTTGAGTTCTACTTATGAAAAGAGCTGCGTCTGTGGGACAATTTCCTCGTCGGTATAACTAACCAGCCATTTCATCACAATCTTGCCACAAATAACCCACTTGTCAGACTAGACGGGACGAAATGATTACCTGCCCAGGTGCCTACAATGGAATAAAATGTACAGAGTAAGGTGAAAGGAAAACAATGTCTTGTACATTTGATCACAGATGAGAAGGAAGACTGGGTTTTGTGTATTTCTCACTCTGACAATCATTGGAATATGTTCAGGGAGTGTCAGGCTCTGACCACTGGGAGGAGAAAACACGGAGTACTGTATTCAAAGTTTATTTCAAGTTGTTTGCTATGACTTTGTGAAGAAGACTTTTAAATGATCATGTTTTTGAAAAATAGTTATTTGTATTAACAGATTTATATAGAAAATATAAAACTTCTAATGTATGGAATCAATCTGTATGCAGTGTTGTCTTTGAAAGTTGGTATTTTTGCCAAAAGGAAAATAGTATTTTGAAATTATCTCTTCACTCTCTCTGACATGAGTTCCTTTTATTTCCCAAGTTATTCCCTTAATATGATATTTTGAGGTGAGGATAAAAGTCTCAATTATATATACTGTAAAAAGTATTGAAAAAGTATTAAATATTTGCCCCTTAGTCATTTTCAGATTGTCTCAAGGAACCATTATAAACATATCTTTCAATTTTAATAGGAAAATTTGAAGTATAAAACAACATGGACATATAGACAAGATTTGAAAAGTTTCTTATTGTTGTGTGGCATTCAGAGTTTTAGTTAGAACTCTTTTGAGCTTTACTGCAAATAAAAATAAAAATACATTCTCTCAGGCAAATACCAATTTTGACATCTAGTGTTTGCTAGATTCATTGTTTTGGCAGTGTTAGTGTATTTTTCTCAGCAGTTATCCAGAAACATACGCATATATTCTTATTGTTATCTACAAATAAGGTGGCTTAGGATGGACTTTTAGGGTTCAAAGATATCTTAGTGCTCGTCATTTTACAGGTGACATACTGGATCCTGAAAGAGTTAAGTGACTTAACTGGTTAATATGATGGGCTGACACTCAGATCTCTTCAGTCTTGGTCAGTGCTCCTTATTTCGACTGATGAGTTTCAGATTTTCTGTTTGTTGGGAAGAAATTTGGAAATATCAAATTTTATTCTGTTTGGGTAAATGATTCTTTGAGTACAATAAGCAGGATCTAAAACTTCTTTATTATTTTCTTTTTAACCATTTAGAAAATACTATTCAATTTAGCTGCTCCATAAATAGAATTATTTTAAGTGTTTTGCTTCTGATATCTCTTTATAAAAGGAGAAAAAGGAGAACATTAAGAAGAAATATATAAACAATAAGATCTTAACCTTCAAAGGGCTTGATAAATTCATGGAAGAAAATAGTTTCTATATCCACTCATTGTAGATTAAAAACCAGAGAGGTTGGGAAAAGATCTGGTTTAACGTCTTTATATTAAATTGGTAATTATGAAGAACCATTTGTGATTACTCCTACATTGTACCCTTATTACATTTCTGTTTAAAGAAGTTTGGTCTTAGGTGACAGATTCCGAAACTGATACAATAAAGGATCAGAATTATAAGATTTATTTTTTAAACAATTGAGAGATGGAAGAAGGGAATGAGAGAGAGAGAAAGAAGACATCTCTGATATGAACAGAGAGAAATGAAGTGTTGGCAAGATTTCACTAGAAGACTGAACTAGAAATAGTGATTGAAATTGATAGAAAACAATGATGTTGAGCAAAGTAATATGACTAATACTTCTTGAAGGCCTTCTAGTAATATACAGTACCATAACCTAAAAATCTAAGCATTCACCGAGGCCTTTTCATAACATAACTCACTAAGTGGAATTATGTAGGTGCAAATAAATATACTGGAGGTGAACAGTCGTAAATGCTGGTGTCAGTTGGTACTTATTAAGCAGACTTGTTTAATTGACAGAATGCATCACTCTTGAAATTGAAACTTAGAGGAATCAAGCAACATAGTAATGCGTACCTTTTGGGTGGCTTTCTGCTTTGGAATAAGTTCCAGAAAAAAAATTAATCTATTTTCCAGTGTAAGACGTTTCTTGAAATGGGGCCCTTTTAAAGAATTAATCTTAAGAATTTGAAACTTTCTACTACATTGCACAGAATAACTTCTTCAACCCCTCCTGCATTTGCACAGTGTATGTACTGTAAAATTTGCACCTAAATGAAAGAGGAACTATGGAGTCTTCAGTTTTACCAACTGGATATATTTATGTATAAATACATGGGACAACGGTTTAGGCTAGGTTATCTGGCTTTTCATTGATTCCTTTTCTGGTTTGTCATAAACAACCTAGTACATAAAATGATAACATGAAAGCTTTACATGCATGTGTATGTGTGCACACTTGCACACACTAAAAAACATGGCACCTTACTAAATTAAGTAACACTAGACACAAAACTGAATCATGGTCAGCTTAAAAAAACAGTAGTGGTCTTCATATTGTTGGGTTATTTGAGAGTGACTGGTAAGTAACATTTCTTTAACCAAGTTCTAAACCAGTTGGGAAATAAGAGAAAACAATAAAGCTGATAAGAGGCCAAATACTGATAAAAATGGTATTGGAGAATTTGGCTTGTATCAGTGGACAAGCTTCCTAATATTGAATCCTAGAATTAGACAGACTTACTCACCCAGGTATGGTCATTACGGAGCTACCTCAGGTATCTGTGTGGGGGAGCCTGGTTCAGAGAAACTTAACTGCATCAAGGGAAAGAACAGAATATATGTTCCCTGTGGAAAAGCAAGCTGCCAGAAAATGGGAAAGGTGCTGAGTTACTTACTTTTAGTTTCTCCTTTCAAACTCATTATCAGATTAAGTCATCATTTTAGGAGAAATGAGGGACTAGAAAGAGTCTTAGGGAGTAATGCTAGTGGCAGTTTCTCCATATGTAAAGAAACATCAAGTGCACTTACATTAAAACCTTTGCTTTGTAATTCTAGCTATGACAATAATTTAAAAAATATATCAATGTAATTGACTTCCTTAACATTTTTTTATCCCTAGTACCAAAGCAGTGTTGTGATTTAAGGAACATGTGATAGATGCCACAGAATTGGGTTGTCTGCTGTAGAATGTGGAACTTGAAAAGGATCTTTAGAATCATTAAAGACCAAAATCCCTTCATAAAAAAATAGAATGATTAGTATACAAGGTCATGGAATACAGTGCTAGAACTGCCGATCTAAATTGCAATTCTGTTTTTTTGTGTAGAAAGGTATCAGACCAGGATATTTTAGGATGGATATAAAATTAACGAATACCAAGTAAGAACAATGTTAGAACTGAAGAAGCGAGACAACAGAAGCATTGCTATAGACCTTTACTATTCAGTTACGTCCAGTAATTATTAAGCAGTACTATGTGCTGTGTGTTAGACACTGGGGATAGAGTGTTGAGCAAAACAGCCGTGGTCTACATTGGATGTATTGTTTGTTTGTTTTTAAGAGTTTTTATTGGGAATTGGGGAAGGGAAAGCCGAGTTGTTGTCCTTCAATCTTAGTTGTGGAGGGCGCAGCTAGCTCAGCTCCAAGTCCAGTCGCCATCTGACTACCCATCAGCAGCTCAGGGCAGCTCAACTCAAGGTGCCGTGTTCAGTCTTAGTTGCGGGTGGGCACAGCCCACCATCCCATGTGGGAGTTGAACAGGCAACCTTGTTGTTAGGAGCACGTGCTCTCACCAACTGAGCCACCCTGCCACCTGTTGGCAGCTCAGCGGCAGCTCACTGGCCCATGTGGGAATCTAACCGGTGACTCTGTTGCTCAGAGCTCGCACTCTCACTAACTGAGCCACTCAGCCGGCCCTGGATGTATTGTTAATTATTCTGGCCAGTGGGGGGAAAAAAACTTTTGTTGGATATAGTATATTCTATATAAATGTAAGGGGACAACAGGTTTTACTTTCATTTTTCATTATTTTTCTGTGACCGTGCAGCACTAATAGCTGTATCCTTCTCTTGTGCTAGCATTCTCCCAAAATAAATAAATAAATAATAAAGATCTTATGTAGAACAGGTTTAAGTTGGCAGCTTCTATGAAGTCATCTGAAGGAAAGGCCCCATCGCTAGAAGTATTTCTCTGGTTTCTCCTTGTCTGAATTTTTGCCATTACAGCTTCACTCTTTGGGGGGAAAGGATTGTAGAACTGCAGCCTACTTTTATATGTTAGCAGACAAGCTCTCACAATACACAGCCCTTGCCCAGAATACACAGCCCTTGCCCAGTGAGGTCATATAGAGAAAGCTTGGAACAATCATTATGAAATGGTGAAAGAGATGCCTGAAGAACAATGGAGAGCAGATTTGAAATGTGTAAGAAAACAATCAGAATGCATAGAAATGTGTGCCCCATGAAGGAGATTGATTGTTCTAGTTGAAGAGTGTCAGACTGAATGAAAGTGAAGGTGTGTTATGATAATCCTAAGGTAAGAAAAAACATTTGAAGTCACCTGGAATTAGTTTGACATGTTAAATTCCCCTCCTTTTAAGGCGATGTATATGGGATCTGGTTTTTCTACTGTTGTTCTAACATCACATTATCCAAGCTGATGCAAACTGTACATATTTCCTATAATTTGTGTTTTGGTGAATATGAACTAATCTATTCCAGGGTTTATATCCTAACTTTTCTTGCATGTCACTGCCATTGAAACTTGCATGAAAAGCACTAACTGCCTTCTTTCTCTTCTCCCTGATTTGCTCCAAGGCTGCCAGACAGATCAAGGATAGGTATGGAAAAAAACCTACATTTTTATTTAAGTATTGATATTGACGTCAGAAATGAAATTCAAGAACAGTTTCTTATTGGAATCTCATTGAAAATAAATATACCTAATGACAAGTACGAAAATAAAAATGTGTTCTGCATATTTTCTGGAATAAACAATGTATCAGCAAGATTTTTAAAAAACACAGTGTGGACAATTATGTACTTCCAAAAGAATTTCATTTCTGGTATAATATAGTTAGTTTTAGAACAGTTCTTAATTAGTTATGCTAATGGATGGGGAACCATTTTAAATAATTAAAAAATATGTATTCCTGGAATGCATTTTTTGTTTTTAAATTTTATAAGCATGTCTTTCTTTCTGAGAAGTCACAGCATTTTAAATAGTTCTCAGGAGCTAAAGCTGTCTTACTTCACTGCTCTCCTGTTTAACACCATTGTATTCTCATTCCATCCTGTTCTTGGTGCCATCTCTTTCTATTTCTAATGCCACCACTATCTAGTTTATTGGCAGAGAATAGTAAAGAAAATGATGAAAGACTTTAGCTTGAAAGGTCTTTCTCATGAGTAGAGCCAGGATTAGCAAAGGGTGATACTTGCTGTAATGACTACACCAAAGGGCTAAACAAGCTGCTGGCAGTTTTGGATTGGGTTACCACGCAAGACATGGCTCTGACCTCCCTCGCTCGTCACTGAGCATTGACTCCACTGAGATGATCACTTTGGTTTCTTTGCTTGAGGATTATGAGATTCTCTGAAAGGCACAGCTCTTCAAATCACCACTCTGAATCCTAGAGTAAATTATTCTTCATCAGATAATTTACAAAATTATTCATTATAGACGGTGAAAACCAGTGTCTCTATTGTTAATCTTGACTGAAGACTTCAATTCTGTGTTTTTCTCCTGGCCATTTATTTGACTGGAGGCAAGAGTCACATGGCAGTCATAGAGCATTCTTAACACAAATATTAATTTTTACATTTTTTGTAGTTTTTTATACCAGGGATTGTTTAAAGACATGGATCATTCTTACAAATCATGAATGTAGAGAGATGATGAGAACTCGAAGGTGAAAACTATTGACTGTCTGAGGACTGGGTGCTAGGTGGGTCAGTTTTTTGGATGAGGTAGTTTTGGGTTGTGTCTGCTGGCGTTTGCTATGAGTGGTCCATGTTCCACCCTGGCTAGACTATCATCCTGTTTAGCCACCTACTTCACTCAGTCCTGCCCTGGTCCCTGACTTTCTGGATTAGAAGTCATTTCCTAATCAGGCTTTGCGCTGTCCAAAGACATTGAGAGACCCTGCACAACCCTGTCTTGTTCTTCTAGGAATCTCTATGGTTCTGTGCTTCCCAGAATGCTGTCCTTCCCCTGACCTCTTTCTCTTTCTCAGATTTGTTTGGCAGAATTTAATTTTATGATTAGTGTTCATCACTGAATGTATTCTTCAGAAACTTGACTTCTTTTCTTCTAAGCCACACTTTAGGTGTGATTTCATCAGTATCCATGTAATCTCAGGAGTCAGAATTCCTTTTTTCTGCCAGGGCAAACTCCATTTATTATTATTATTTTTTTTAAGATTTTTATTGGGAATTGGGGGATGGGAACAGCACTGGGGAATTGGGGGAAGGGGAACAGACAAGTTGCTGTCGTTTTGTTCTTCAATCTAGTTGTGGAGGATGTTGCTTCACTGGCCCAAGTTGGCACCATCATTGCGCTTTTCCCGGCCGAGGCAGATCAGTCGCCAGCTTCTGGACGGCCGCTCGCTGCGGCTGCTGGCCGCTCACACTGGCTGCTGGCTACACACGGTAGCCCATGGCAACCCACTGCAGCAGTAGCTGCAGCCTACGCCGTCGCCAGAGACTCACAGCAGCCCAACTCCAGGTTGAGCTGTTGTTCAGCATCTTAGCTGTGGAGGGCAGTGTCACTGGCCTTCATATGTGGGATCCGAACCGGGGCCTCTGGCGTCCCAAGCCAGCTCTTAACCACCACGCCACTCGGCCGGCCCCTCCATTTATTTTTTATTTGTTTGTTTTTCAGAGCCTGTACTTATTTTTTTTTTTTTGAGACTTCTCACAGAATTTTTATCTCCTGCCTAAGGAACGTTTCTGGGCCTTGGCTTAATTTTTTAAACTTGATTTTAGTTTCATAATGTTCAGGTTTTTCTGATACAGTTTTCAGGTTTTCTCCCATGAAGCACATTTCTAGGATTCCATCATTGCCATTTTAATATAAAAATAATTTAAACATATAGTCATAATAAAATAATTATTTTCACTAAGTGAAGAAAGGATTAATTACTCCCTTATATTAAGACATAAGTGGTATTTTAAGGAAGAATGTATAACATACCTGAGCAAGGAATCAAATATATAAAAATGAAAGTATCTGTGACAAGTAAGTATTTATCATTGCTGTGATATGAGTTATACAAGGGGAATAGTGGAAGTGACAGGAAACACTAAAGACAGAAATGAGAAGATAATACGTAGCAGATCTCTACAATTTCACAAATCACTGGTATACACTTCTGGGTACGTAGTAATGTTAAAAGGTGATTAGTTGAGGCATATTGCAGGAGTCACTGGTTCTTGAAGAAAAGGAATCATGAAGAGAGGAGTCAAATTAGGCAAGTAGTTTAAGGAAATTAAAAGTATTCATCCAGATGTTTTGCAGTTATTTTCTCTTTGCAAAAATAAAATGAGGAGGAGAAGGGATCCTTGTAGTCAGCTTGTACTATTAGAAATAAATTGAGAAAGTCAGGGTGAACTAAACCATTCCCTAACCACTGGGATCCTGTAATGTAGAGAATTATCTGTGGATTTTGGATTGTTAGTTTGGGCTTTGAAGTACAGTTGTCTAAAATATATTCAGTTTAAAAATAAAAAGTTGTCTTTTGAAAGATTATAACATTGTTAAACATCTAACTTGACTTATGGAGACTGAAATTTTCATTTCAGACTAGAAAATAAAGGTCATTCTTGTTTTTTAGGCTTTGATAGACCTTTCTAGTACATTTTGGGGGAACATTCTTTTTCTTTGAGGCCATAGTGATTAAATTAATCTTTGCAGATAAAGTTTCAGATTTAAATTCCCTAAAATGCTTTCAGAAATTTTTTTCTAAACAGTTCTCAGCTAACATTTAAATAATCTGGTTTAGTAGAAACCAAGTAGGTTCAAACCCATTCATTGATTCTATGGGTATTTACTAAGTACCTATCTGAATATAGCTCTTTCGGAAGTCTTCCAGTCAAAAGATACTTGGGGCAGTAGAAAATAATGTATATAGCCTTCTCTCCTAACTTCTTATTGATATAATCTGAAATTTTATTACTAAGTACCAGCAGCTTAAGGTAATATGTGTGAAACATTCAGCGTTATGTCTGGCGTTCATTAAGTGTGAGTTCCCTTCTCTATGAATTGTATTTCAGTATAGCACTTTCTTCTTGAGAAATAGATCAGTTAACTCATTGTTTATACTAAATAAAGTGATTACTTTCCCAGTTTTAAAATGAAATAAAATAACTGAATACAGAAACAGACATTTTTCATCCCAAAATAACTGAATACAGCAACAAGTTTGATATTTCTTATACCACTGATCCCTAGAGTAGATTTGGCAGATCTGAATGACTAGGCCTTGTATTCTCTTTGTTCCTCCAGCTCTATTTACTTTGTCTCCCAAATTTTGTGCTAGGAATACAACATTCATGAATATTACTTTTGTGTCATTCTTTGACCAAAGATAATAAGGGGAATTACTTTGTGATACTTGTGGAAATTTAATATGCAAAATTGAAATGTGAGGTAAAATGACAAATCAATACAACATGAGAATTTCTTTTAGTGCCCAGTTATAATTGACAGAACAGTTTTCCCCTGGTTTGGGTAAAATGAAGTCTGGTATGACTTCTTTCTTTTTTTGTTATTGTTTTTTACACTGCATTCCTCTAATAAATATTTATGGAGCTCCTCTTATTTCCATGGCATATGGTTTCACAGGGCTGTTTCTCCTTGCATCCTTCCATGTAGCCGATGTTGACCATCAGAGTGACACCTACTAGCATGGTATTCAAAGTCGTGGTTTCACTTCTCTCCTTTCTCATCCATGACCTGTCTTTGGCAGCCACCAAGCTGTACAGTATTTGGTCAGTGTACCTCTGCTCTTATTTGAGGGTCCATGGAGTAGTTCTGATTAGTAGGAAGAATATTTGAATCAGGGTGTATGTACAGTTCATTATTTGGCATGTGGAAAGGAGTGAGGCTGGCATCAGGAAGTCAGTGAGATTGACTGTACAGAGGCTCACATGACCATTGCGTCCGCTAAAGATGATTTATACTGGATATTTATCTCTTGTGATGTTTGTATTTATATGCAGTTTTATAAAACTGGGTGGAGGAAAGTTCCTTAAAGTTATTTTAAATGTCTTTAAATTTAAAAATATTTTAGTTTTTATTTAATTTTCAAAGACTCTAAGAGCAAATTTCTATTTAGTTTTGTTGCCTTTATTATAGTTTCTGAAATAACTAGAGTGAAATAATTTCTATCTTTTCATTTTGTATATTAAATATATGATACCTCCCATTCTTTTATTTTTAAAAGTATGTTTGTGTTTGCCGTAGAGTAACAATGGCTTCAGCCTTTCGCCTTTCTTTGAAACCAAAGGTCAGTGACAACATGACTCATTTAATGGTGGATTTTTCTCAGGAAAGACAGATGTTGCAAACTTTGAAGTTTTTGCCAGGTAAGTAAGCATGTTATATTACATGTAAAGTTATGTATAAAAACTTTGTTTCTGCAAATTTTTCTGTGATGAACATTGGAATATAAATGTTGAAGAAGTATAGTGTGATTTTTTTTTCTTCAATTAAGGAATAGTTAAAACTGCTAGTTTTTATTTTTAGAGAATTATTTTACTGGTAGTTATTGTTAATTTGATAGAAGCAGTAAACCATGATGTATCACTGCGTCTTGGGGCCAGACTTCTTATATTTAATCCTAGCTGCCACTTACTTGCTGTGTAACCTTGAACAAGTTATTTAACTTTTCCTCATTTTCTTTATCTTTAAAATGTGATGTTTATCCTTCTAGGTTTTGTATAGGAATTAGATGAATTGAAACCTCTAGAGCACTTGAGATAGTTAGTATCCAGCATATGTTGGGTTGTCAGAAAAGTCATGATGTATTTTTTCTATGTTTTTAGTTGCAAAAATGTGACATGACTTTTCCGGCAACCCAATAGTTAACACTCAATGAATGTTAGCATCTTTCGTTACCATTATTGTTGAAGTTGTTGGCTCAGATGGAGTTTTATTTCCAGTGATAGTATGTTAACATTGGTTTAGTAGAGTATTAGTATGAGGATATTCCAGAAGCCAAAACCATTTGAAATTGAGTCCAAATATTTGTCCACATGTGTGAAAGAGCCAATTAAAGACCTTTTGGTTAGTAGTATTCTCTTTTTAGCTAGCATCAAGTAATGCTGTTAAGTTGATAGCTGAAACAATTTGTGAACATGGTGATTTGGGGTATGAGGAAGTCTCTTGAAAATGAAGTGCTTTATTACTTAAACAGGTGCTTTGTTAAAACTGGCTTTTATTGTTTTAGAGGTTAGCTGTTTTTGGATAGAGAATTTTGATCATATGAAACCATTCTTCTCTGAATATTTGGCCAAGGATTTAAAATATGATTGGAAAGGTGTTGTTAGTAGTCATGAAACTAATTGAACTAGTAAAGGTAGCACAAGTGAAGTATTAACTTGTGTGATATAGATCAGAAGTGTTAGAAGAGTTTATAGAAGGAAAAGGTGAGAGAATGAACTATAGTTGTAGAGGAAGAAAGTATACTTGTCAGTGGATATCTACCTGTGAATTGTTCTTTAAGAATTACTAACCATTATATTATCATTCACACTACTTCTAAATTCAGAAGGAGAATAAGGAGTGGGGGATTGTTAATACACACTTTATTATTTTGATTTTTTAAAAAGCTACTAAAAAGCAATCTTCTCACCATTACTCTATCTCTTGAGTTTTCAGTGATGTCTTAACAGGGGAGGCCGTGCCTATTGTACAGTTAAGTAGATTGCATTGCACAGTTAGGGCTTCCTCTTTTGGCAAACTGTTAAGACAGTATGAAGTAGTGAGGTATAATAAAAAACAAAACAACAAGAAAACCTTTTGTGGAGGAGCTTTACTCTGAAAGAAAAGTATAGTATGTTGTTAAAATTTATGAAAGATGAATTCCTATTACTAATTTTTCATATTCTGCTATAGCATAAAAATTTCCTGTAAGGTGCAAGCTGATTAAATAAAAAATGGATACCTTCATCCCTTAGTAATTCATTCCATAAACACCACAGAAATTAACTCTACACTGCATATGCATAGTAACATGAGTTGTGGACTTATCTGAGTCTGAAAAATGAAAGTGTTGATGATGGATGATAATTGCAAAGCCATTTTCTTCTATTTTAGGACATTTTTTTATACATTGAAACTCAGAGTTTATAATCTTCTCTTCTGAGCTTCTACAACTAAAATGGGAAACATGCTTGTGACAGTGTTGATGGCCACTTGCCCTTTTACATTCACATGCAGAGAAAACGTTAGTAAAATTCTTGAACATATTTCCACACTATTGCTAGTTAACTGTTGTTTTATGGAAATTGCTGTGAATTGCCTTTTATTCTCATTTCCAAAGAGAGTTCTGAATTTTTCTAAGTGATATTTTTACATAACAATTTTACCACCTTTCATCTTCCCCTGAAGTTTTATCATTTAATGAACTTCAGTACACAGTCTTGGGTGGACTTCCCACATATTAGGTCCAAGTTAGCCTTAATGTGACATACCACTCTTAAATTATGTAAATTTTCTTTTACCCTCCCAAGTATCACTACTTCTTTGGATTTTTAAAAAAATTTACTGCAGTTACCACTTTTAGCAGTTTGCTTTCTTTTGGGGGCCGTTATTCAGAAGAAAGAAGAATCTACTTGTGAATTCTTACTGGAATCGTAGCTGAATTGAGATGTATTGTGTAGTGGAGAGTTAGCCAGACCCACTTAAAATTAAGTGATTCTTACTTTATCCCAGCCTTTTTCAGTGCAGGTTTTTGACTTGGCAAAATTATAAAATTACTGCATGCCAAATAGGCCTTTACATTTCCTCATGTGTAAGCAGTGCAGAGTATATTAAATTCATTAATGCCTGTGGTCTGTTCTCGTGGCAATGAATAGTAGTCTGTATTGTTTATGTTCCAGTGATAGAGACTAACATCTGTTATGTATTATAGGGACAAAAACCCTACAAGGCAAATGAAGGAAATTAATCATAATGACAAATGATAAATACTTCTGTGGTTGTCTTTTGTCTCACTAATAAGGTATATCAGATTCCAAGTATTTATTGTACAATTACACACATACTAGAGTTGAATTTTGAAGACTACAGTTAATGGAGATCAATTGTCCCACCTCTCTCCCCTCTTGTTTCTTACTAGTTAGACTTGAAGATTTAAAATTTCTATCAAAGTCCTTTCATCTTGGTTTTGATTATTCTATCCAACATAATTTGGTTTACTTTGTTACTTGTTAGGTCTCACATTGCTTTGCATTTTAGCTTTTGTGTATAATTCCTTTATTGTTATTGTTGTAGCTGTTTTAATGCTTGTTTTTAAAAACAAGCTTAGGTGTATGGAAAATGGAACAGATAATAAAGTGACCATACACTTTCCTCCTCCCCCACATACAGCTTCCCCTGTTAACATCTTGCATCAGTGTGGTACACTTATTATAATTGATATAACCAATATGGATGCATTATTATTGACTGCAGTCCGTAGTTTACATTAGGGTTTACTCTGTGTGTTATGTAATTCTTTGGGTTTTGACGAATGTATAATATCAGTTATCCATCGTAACATTACAATACAGAATGGTTTCACTGCCCTAGTATTCCCCTGTACTCTGCCTGTTCACCCCTTGCATCCTGCAGACTTGCTATAATCACTTGTTAATTCCAGGAATTTTTTGTTGATTCTTTGGGATTTTAGGCACTCATGTCATCAGCGAACAGACTATTTTTCCTTCCTAATCTGTATACCTTCTACTTCCTTTTCTTGTCTTATTGCATTTAGCTAGAGCTTCCAGTACAGTGTTGAATAGAAGTAGAAGTAGTGAGAGAGGACATCCTTGCCATAGGGGAAAATTATCAAGTTTCTCAACATTAAATATGGTATTAACTCTAGGTTTTTTGTAGATGTTCTTTATCAAATAAAACCCCCTCTATTCCTAGTTTGCTGAGAGCTTTTATCATAAATGGTTGTTGGATTTTGTCAAATATTTTTTCTCTCTGTTGATCATACGATTTTTCTGCTGATGTGATAGATAGATTACATTAATTGATTTAAAATGTTAAACCATCCTTGCTTGCATACTTGGAGCAAATCTTTTGAAACTCCTTTTTTTTTTTTTTTTTAGCAACAAAATGTTTAAACACAGTACCTGCACAGTTTCACACATTCCAGACACATCTGTGTCACTGGAGGACCAGGTTCTCTGATTAGCCTGTGGTTACATAAATGGAACATCTGTTCATGTTGAGGAGCTGTGGAAAAACCTCTTTTATGGAAATGACATTGATTAATGTTCATACATGTTAATTGTGGCTCATTTACTCCACAATTTATTTTAATGAATCATAGAACTCTTTGGAGAAACATTTTTTAATGCTTAAGTATTTTGGGGGATTGGGGACCTCATTTTTGTTTACTATTAAGAGATTACAATTTTTTATAAAAAATATTTTTAAAATACATTGAAAATATCTTGAATTATATGAATCATTGGATTCAAACAAGTTATTCTGTTTTGTCAATAATGATTTAATTTACAATTCTACAGCTGTTTGAAATAGATTAAAAGTACATTTTGAGAAGCAACGAGTCATTCTTGATTCTTTATTCTTAGCATTGCTTTTTGCCAACTAGGATTTTAATGTACTTTGAATAAGTCAAAGAAAAACCTTTGATATATGAAATTTTAAATAGGGCTTTGAAAAATGGTTATTTTGCATTTATAGGGTGTCTGTCTTCTTAGCCTGCTTGCTTTAATTGAACAGTTCAAAACAACATGAAAAAGCATAGTTTGAATCACAAACATAAATATTGGATTAGGACTATAATAAATGAGAAATGAACTTATTTTTTATTCTTTAGTCCCCAAAGCTCCAGAGATAGATCCAATAGAGTGTTTGGTGGCTGACAACTCTGTGACAGTAGCTTGGAGAATGCCAGAAGAAGATAATAAGATTGATCATTTTATACTGGAATATAGGAAAACTAATTTTGATGGACTTCCACGTGTAAAGGATGAGCGATGCTGGGAGACAATTGATAATATTAAGGGTACTGAATATACATTATCAGGTAAAACGACTGCATATCGTGAATCTCATTCTCAGAAAATAAATACATAATAAATGTGAAAAATATTTTGAATTACTTTAAAATATAAAGTTAAGTTTCTTTAGCCAAGTGAATTTTTATATATTCATTATAGAAGTGAATTTCTCTTAACATATCAAGAAAACCTTCATTTAAATTACTTATGGATATTTGCAACCTGGTAAAATAATGTATGTAAAACACACATGAAGGGATGTTCTGGAAACCATATTTCAGAATAACATTTAGTTTTTAACCTTGGTTTTCTAATAATAAAAACATTGTCAATTTTCTAGATGTACACACCACTCCACAATTCAATGATACTATAAATACTGTTGCCTTTACCCTTTTAAGATTACCTTCACGGTAACTTAAAGTAGAGCTGTGACTTGGTATTAGAAATTTGTAGATCTTTTGAAAGTCTTTAAAAAGATATCTCACTATATAGGGGACTTCGGATATTTGAAATGGTCGAACGTTGCCTGACTTGTTCAGTGCTTGTTACACAGTCAGTGATATTAGTAACTTTACTGACATTGAGCACTTACTATTTATCGGGAACTGGGCTGAAGTGTATTATTACCTAATACATCTCATTTAATCAGCACAGTACATCTCATTTAATATTTACAATTAATGAGGTTTGTTTTATTATTTCCACTTTTCTGGTATAAAACTATGGCTGTGTCATGTTAAGTCCCATAGCTAGTAATTTTTGGACTATTGTATTCTAGATATGACTAACTTCAGAGATTTGCTATTATTCCCTATGCTTCACTTTCTCTTTTTCACATAAAAAGACAATGTTTCATAAATGCAAAAATTCTTTAGGGTGTTCACATTGCAGAAATAGAGTATGTTATTTTATACTGTAGCATCTCTCCTTGAATGAAGCATTACTATTTTGTTAAATTAATTAATTAATTTATTTTTAGCTGAGCCATCCTGCCATCTGTTGGCAGCTCAGCAGCAGCTCAGCTCAGCCAGGACTCGAACTGCTGTTGCTCAGAGCTCGCACTCTTGAGTGAGCTCTTAATCAACTGAGCCACTCGGCCGGCCTCAAAGCATTACTATTAATGAAGCTTGAGAGTACATTTTTATCACATAGTTGAAAAAAAACCTCATTAATAAACTTTATTTCTTTTGAAGAAAATCATATATCATGATTTTTCTTATTTCAGGCATTATCAGCATTTTAAATAAATTTGTATTTTTCCTGAGTAAAGGGATAGTTCCAAGGAGGGAAAAGTATCTGTTTTATTCATACTTTTGGAGTAGATTCCTTTACTTTTCAGATCTGAAAACCATTTTCATTTTTATAGGCTTAAAGTTTGATTCAAAGTATATGAATTTCAGAGTGCGAGCTTGTAACAAGGCTGTGGCTGGAGAGTATTCTGATCCAGTAACCCTAGAGACCAAAGGTAAGATTAATAGCTATTTATATAGCATAAAACAAAACCTAACATCTGAAGCTATTTGAGACTTCGTGACAAGAAGCATTGCATGTATGGTTGCATTCCTTTCCCCACCTACACACACACACACACACACACACACACACACACACATGCCGCCGCCGCCGCCACCACCACCACCCCTGCCCTCACCCCTACCCCCAGAATTCCCAACAGTAGGAATTTTAAGATGGGGAAATTAGGACTACAGTAGTGGTTTTCATTAGTTTTTGGTAAAATAGACTGAGACGATGGTGTTATCTTCTCTGGTGGGTGCTTAGTTTACAAATTTCAGTCTACTATAAGTATATAAACATCACTGAGATTTGCCCAGAGTTTTCCCAGGGAATGATTATGGCTCAATAATGGGGAAATTACCTTTTCAGTTTAGTTCAGGTTCCTGTTTTCTTAAATCTTACTGTAGAAATTAACATTTACATAGCTTATTAACATTTACAAAGCACTCTCACAGTTCTTCATTGATCATTAAAAGCCATCCTGAGAGATCAGTAGAATAGATATTATTGATATCCATTTTGCAGATGAAGAAAGTGAAGTTCAAATGTGTTAAATGACTTGTCTAGGATCCCTAGCACTAGCTTGGAAGGGTGTAAATAAGAATGTTTTCAAGTTCTGTTCAGCCCCTATTATGGGCATGAAACTCAGGTGCTTCTAGTCTCAGAGCAACTTGGATTTAGTAGAAATTTCCTAGAGTTTTATTTTAACGCTCATATTTTAACACAGAAGATTTTTGAGATATTTACCAATTTGAAGGTCATAATGCTAGAGATTTTCCCAGTTGTGAGATGATAATTGACGGATTACTTCCAGAATGAAATTCTACACATAGTTCTAGTACTTGGGCCTAGAGTATTCCACTGACCTCTAATTCAAATAGCATTTGAATAATAGGTTTGCATGTCAGAAGTTTGATATGATTTGGAGGATGACATAAAATATATTAGAATAAAACAAAATACAAGGTCATAAGTTTTGACAAGACAAACTCAGAAGAACATGTTTGTATCACAAAGATAAATAAAAAACATAACTCAAAGTAATTTATTCAGATTAGCAAGTGTTTTTATTTGAGAACTATAGATAACTTAGCCAAGAAATGCAGTTACTTTGAATTACTTGTTATCAAACTGAAACATTGCTGTGGTTTCTTGAGAGATTTTTACCATTTCAAAGTAGTCATATTTATAGGCAAATAATCCTTTACCTGAATTGTGTCAGGTAAAATTGCATTATTATTCTCCCTCAGGCATATCGTATTTTTTTATTTCTTTTATTCCTTCTTATTTACCCCTTATATTTAGTGACCAAACTTGGACTTAAATGTGGTAAATTGTACATTTCTATGCAAATTCAATAGAATCAGGAAAATGAATAGCTGGCTTACAGTTTCCTTGGAGCTGAGCTGGCTGCGCCTATTAGCAGTATCTGGATCTTACTAGTCAAATTCTTGATCTTAGGGCTTGTAGGGACAGACTAAATTGATTATAGTTTTATCAAGCATGTCTCACTGTGGGGTAACCAACCCTGCTGGGGTGGATAGACTGATACTCAACCCTGAGGCCCACTGAATTTCAGGGAGATCCAGAATAAATTTGTCTCTTAAATAGCTATGGGTTGCAGATTTTCTAAGGTTATACCATAGCACAGGAGTGGCTACTAATGAGAGCCAGCGCTCCAGTGGGAGTCCAGATTTTTTTTTTAATGACATCTTGAACAACTGTTTACTGACTTTTATTGGCTTGTTATAGCCCTTTTTGACCAACCAGTAGAAGTGTATGAACAAAAAACTGGAGGAAAAGGGAGAGAGATGTAGATTAAATAGCTCGAGGCCTACAAAAATTTCATATCCTGCTACTTACAGTACTTGGTGTGGAAAATAATGAACATTGTTAACTTCTGTCGATCCACTGTATGTAGCACTGTTCTGTGATTAGAACTGTCAGAAGTGATGTGTAATGTAAAGTTGTTATGATCAGAATTTTAGAAGTGTATAGAGAGTGCCAAAAATTACATATTTTAAGAAAGGAAAAAACTATTAAAATTGTAATACTCTATACCGATAACAAAAGATGAATTCAAGTCACGTTTGACTTCTGCAATTACAAGAGGTGCTCAAAGTGGTTTCCATCAGCGTCCAGATACTTTTGATTAGGCAAACTGCTTGAGGAATGATGACCAAAATGTCCACTTGTATACATTTTTTTGGCAGCCCCAGTATTATCTGTTACTTCCTTGTAAAGGTAAATGATATGATATTAATCACAATTTATTCTCTAGTCTCAAATAATAGTGGCTATGATAGAATTTTACAGTAACTAGAAAGCAGTCATCAATATAACCAGTTAAACCCTTGAAACATATCTGAACTCTGCAATTTTTGGTACTTTGTTTTCACGGACTTTTAAAGATATGGAAACTAATATCCAGCTGTATTACAGGACTTCTATAAGAGACAGGACTAACATTTGAAACCTTATTTTTGAGGCCAGTTTTGTTTTGTTTTGGTTTTGAACTATACGACATTATCCCTGTTACCTTTGCCTCTATGACTTAGTTGAGGTTCCATAAAGGGATAGCATCAAAAAAAAAGAGAGAGAGAGAGAGAGAGAGAGAGAGAGAGAGAGAGAGAGGAGAGAGAGGAGAGAGAGGAGAGAGAGGAGAGAGAGGAGAGAGAGGAGAGAGAGAGAGGATTATACCCCTGGGACTGAAACCCATGCCTCTCTGTTTGGGTGCTGTGGTATTTGATAAGTCTGGTCTCAAGTGGCTTGGGAGTGATACCTTTTCTTGCTACCATTACTCCACCCTTCTCTCCATCATAAGAAATACTAAAGAACAGCCTTAGGATTTTTTTCTTTCCTTTTAAAAAAAAATATATTTATTATTATTTTTAAAACAGCCTTAGGATTTTAACAAGTAACTGAGAATTGATGGCACCTTATGGTTTTATCCACTTTTTCTTTCTCTCAAAAATGAAGATGCCCTCACATGTATTGCCTAACAACTAATGTAGAGGTTAACCCTGCTTTCTTCAGGCAGTACAGTCTTGGTAGTGCAGGGTCTCAATTTTGCTTAATCCTAACTTTTTAGTAATCTTCCTATTAAGGAATTCTATTTCCATTTTCTCTGAAAAGCTGTATTATTTCTTTTTTCTGTAAGTTCATTGCTGTATACATGCAGATTTTGAAAGCTGTTAACTTACTTACATGGTATGCCATTTACTAGAAGTGGTTATGGTCAGTAAACTTGTATTTAGAATGTTGTGTAAATAAAGACAATGAACAATAGGTTCAATGCATAGTTGAAATTAAAGTGCTCTTTACAGAACAGTAGAGGATAAAAGGGCTCTTGATTCACTAGGTAAACATTGGGCTCTCTATATGAATCTTTAGTTGTTTGATGATGCATGCTTCATGGACACACTAAAGCCTTAGCTAAGGCAGGTAGTATCCTTAAGTGAAATGGGGCATTGGAAAGAAATAATTCCTTCCGTGAATAATTACCCAAAATTTGAACTTTTGGAGGGAAATATAACCAACAGAGGCAGATTAGTTGGTAACTATGTAGTAGGTGATACCTTGCTTAAGACAGAGATTCTAGGAATTGCATTTTAAAATAGGAGGAACTGTGCATTACTTAACTATGAAACAATAAATTTTAATGATTTACTCTCAATTTCTAAAGAGAGAAAGTAATACCTTGCTATACTGATTTCCAAAATTAAGTTCTGAGTATGTCTTATGAATACTACAGATGGTTCTGTACAATACCAAATAATTTGAAAAGCATAGTTTTATGTTATGTTTTTAAATTTTTCATTTAAGAAACCCCATCCCCCCACACACACACACACATACTCTTTGCCATGTAAATCATTTCTAGCTCTGTCAGCTATGTCAGTTCCCTTGTTTCTGCCAACATGGTCCGTTTCTCCATACTTGTCTGAATTTGAAACTACTGAGAGTTTAAATATGAAATTTTTGAGGATTAGAGCATCAGGGAAAATGTGGGTGTGCCAGGCTCTATAATTTTTTTACACCACATCACTTTCTCCTCATCCTTAATTCTACTAACTCTTCTTTCTATTTAGTCATAACAATCAGCTGGTAATCAACTGCTAATCCTAGTAACAGGAAATTGAGGTTATTGTGTACTGATGGAGATTGCAGCAGAAGTAGTAGCAGAAACACTCATGGCCATGCAAGTGTATTGTATTTGTGGAGTATAAGATAGAGAAGAATAATGGGAAATAAAGGAGGAATTAGTAAATTACGCCCTTTGGGGACTTTAAATGTTAGGATTAGGAATTTGAACTTTATTCTTTATATATAGTATTGAATAAACTGAGGAGGAAAATAATATGATAATTGTGCTTCAGAAAGTGGAAATATGCTACATTTTTTAAAAATTGAAATACTGTTTTGGATAGCACTTAACTTCAGTTTGGATAACTCATCATCCCATTTGAACTTGAGAGTTGAAGACACCTGTGTGGAATGGGACCCTACTGGAGGCAAAGGTCAAGAAAATAAAATTAAAGGAAAAGAGAACAAGGGCAGGTAAGCTAGTTCCTTAAATCTGTTATCTGGACAAATGCTTGTACACTGATTCTTATTTAACAATAACTTACAATGAAACTGTTATTCTGTATATCAATATGATTTGTGATATGTTGGAAACACCAAAGTGAAGACTATAATATTGTTTGCCAACACTTGAATTTCACTTTTTTTTTTTTTTTTTTAGCTGAGCCATCCTGCCACCTGTTGGCAGCTCAGTGGCAGCTCAGCTCGGGCTGGGACTCGAACCGCTGTTGCTCAGAGCTCNGAGGGCAGTGTCACTGGCCCTCATATGTGGGATCCAAACTGGGGCCCTCTGGCGTCCCAAGCCAGTTCTTAACCATCACGCCACTTGGCCGGCCCTATTATTATTAATATTATTATTTACTTTACCACAGACTTCTTCTATATTACGTATTTTGGGCTGTTTCTTTAAAATGGTCAATCAGGCACAAATATGGAACTTAAAGTTATTTTTTCCCCTAAGCCTTGGACATGCTTTTATAAAAGGGTAGATTTCATGTATAATTTGAGTTTATGTCAGGTAGATATGAAGTGAGTTTATTCATTGCTTTCTTATTCCAAGTAATGAAACTGTAGTTACATTTCTAAATGTCATAAGATGCTTTAGGAAATTCATTTTTAAACGAATTAAAATTGTTTTTTTCCTTCATTGAAGGCTTGCTTGTATTGACCAAGTAAATGTTAAATTTTTTCTGTACAAGATTAATTTTCTTTTTTAAAGTCAGGTTTATTGAGGTATGATTTACAGTAGTGTACAGTTCTGTGGTATTTGACAAGTGCGTACAGTTGTCTAACCACTGCCATAATCAAGACATAGGACATTTCCATCATCTCAGAAGATTCCTTCATGCCCCTTTGTAGTGGACATCTATCACACCCAGCCCTGGCAGTCACTAAGCAGTTTTTAGCTCCTATAGTTTTGCTTTTTCCAGAATAGCATAGAAACGGAATTGTATGGTATGTAGACTGTTGATTCTGCAGCCTAATACATTTGAAATTAATCTGTGTTGTGTTTGTCAGTAGTCCCATTTTTTTATTGCTTAGTAGTGTTCGTATATGTATATATCACACGTTATTCATCATTCACCCACTGAAGGACATTTGGAGAGTTCTTTCCAGTTTTTGGCAATTCTGAATAAATGCACTAGAAACATTTTCATATGGGCTTTTGTGTGAATATTTGTTTTCATTTCTTTTGGTTAAATATGTGAGGTTGCTAGATCCCATTGAAAGTGTATCTTTAACTTTATAAGAAGCTACCAAAATGTTTTCCAAAGTGGCTGTACCACTTTTGTATTCCTACAAGCAATATTTGAGCGTTTACCACATTCTTGCCATTATTTGATAATGCCACATATTTTTTTGTTTTTAAGCTATTTTAGTAGCTTTGTAATGGTATTTATTGTGGTTTTAATTTGCATTTTCCTAAGGACAAATGATGTTGAGCATCTTTTCATGTGCTTATTTGCCATTTGTAATTTAATTGAAGTATCTGTTAAAGTCTTTTCCTCATTTTTTAATTGGGTTACTTGTTTTCTTATTAGTTTTTAACATTTCTTCATGTATTGTGGATATGAGTCCTTTATCAGATAAATATTTCGCAAATACAGTATTTTGTCCCAGTCTGTGGTTTTTATCATTTTCTGAACATTTTGAAGAGAAGTTTTTCATTATGAAGTCCAGTTTATCAATTTTTTTTTCCTTTGATGGATCTTGCTTTGTCCAACTCAGGGTCCCAAAGATATTCTTTTTTTTTTTTTTTCTTGAAAGTTTTTATGGTTTTAGGTTTTACATTTAGGTCTATGATCCATTTAGAGGTAATTTTTTTGTATATGATAGTAACGGGTATTGTTTGAGATCTGTTTTTCTCTCATCTGTATGTCCAAGTGTTTTAGTACCATTTATTGATTTGCCCTTACACTGTTGTGCTGAATATTTTGAGTAAATATTTTTGTAAATTGCTTAAATAATTTCCAAAAAAAGTAATATCATAGTTTTAAAATTAGAGAGTTAATTTTGTATTATCAGAGTTATCATTACCAAACCTGCTAGTTTAAAAAAATCTAGAATGTTAAGTATATAGTTACAAATTTCACAAGTCAGTAGATTCTTTGGTACAATACTGTAGTTACTTAGTAAATCTTGAACACTTTAGGATATAGTTGAAGGTGGGAATACTTAATTTCTAGAATCTCTCTTGCCTTAAGCTTGTGTCTGTTACATACATGGAAGTTGATGGACAGTTTAAATGATCCATCTTTTCATATTTTCATTCTCTTGACTCTGTTCCAGATCAGTTCTTGTTCACCTTATTGGAGGATAGCTGTGCTCTGTTCACAAGCAAAACAATTTTATCTTTCATAAACTCATTCACATATGGTAATTAAAAAATATGGCAAAGGGCTGGCCGAGTGGCTCAGTTGGTTAAGAGCTCGCTCAAGAGTTTGAGCTCTGAGCAACAGCGGTTCGAGTCCAGCCCGAGCTGAGCAGCCGCTGAGNGCTCAGTTTGTTTTAGAATGAAGCTAGAACTGTCAGCTGTCAAATTATATAGCAATAATTAGATGCAAATGACTCTAGTATTTCCAAAAATGAACTAGTGCCATCTGTTGCAAACATGCGTCATGACTGTTCCAAAGACCCAGTAACAAAAAGACCCAGTTTGTAACAAAAAAATTAATGTCAAAATATGCACTTACTTACTAGTTTTATGCATGATTATATGTTAGACTTAAGTAGATGTTATAATATCTTGCATAATAAACCACACTTTTTTTCCTCTTCCTTTTAGGTCAACTTTCTTTCTATGATGCAAACTCAAAACAGTTGTTGTATTCCTTTAAGACAAAATTTACTCAGCCAGTATTACCTGGTTTCATGGTTAGTACCTAATTTATATTTTATTTGGTTTGGCAACTTTAAGGAGAATAACCTATGCTGTATGGGGAAACAGAATATCTTATTTTTTCTTCATACTCCTCTCCCTTCCATCAGTCCACCTCTCCCAAATCTGCAATTGTCTGTATATTTTTGGTGTATTTTATTGAAGTAAATAATAATACATAAAAGTACACACATTGTAAGCAAGCAGTTTGATGAATCTTCATGGGACTGCACTCGTTTTTGTAACCAGCATCTTCTAGATCAAGAAATAACATTACCAGAACCTCGTAAGCCCCCTTGTGCCCATTTCCAGCTGCTCCTGGCCCTCCCCCATAGTGGTTACTATCTTGAGTTTTAATGCCATAAGCTTATTTTGCCTTCCTAAATTTTGTATAAATGGAATCATACAGTATCTTTTTGGCTCAACATTATGAGATTTATCCATGTTGTTTTATGTGGTGGTAAATCACTCACTCATTCTCATATAGTTTCCCATTATATGAGTCTGTCATAATTTATCCATTCTAATTTAGTTGGTACTTGGGTGGCTTCCCTTGGGGAACATTTATAAATAGAACTGCTGTGAATATTCTTGTTCATGTCTTTTGGGGTGTGTGTGTGTGTGTGTGTGTGTGTGTGTGTGTGTGTGTGTGTATTTATTGGGTATATAACTAGAATTGGGGTTGCTAGATCACATGGTATGTGTGTAATCAACTGTAGTAGTTTTCCAGTTGTTGGTTATACTAATATACCACCAGCAGTGTATGCGAGTTTGAATTCCTCCACATTTTTATTACCACTTGCTATTGTGCTTTTTTATTTTAGTCCTGATAGTCTTATAGTTCTTTTTTATTTTTGCCCTTCTAGTCCTTAGATATATTACATTGTGGTTTTTATTTGCATTTCCTTGGTGATAGTGCTGTTCAACACCATTTTATATGTTTATTGGCTATTTGGGTATACTTGCTAATGAAATGGTGGTTAAAGTCTTTTGCTTGTATTCCTATTGGGTTTTCTTTCTATGTGTTATTGATTGATTGGAGTTCTTTATATAGTCTGAGTCCTTTGCCAGATATATGTATTGCAAATATCTTCTCCACTCTGGTTTTCCTTTCTTCTTTTATTGGTGACTTTTAACAAGCAAAAGTTGTTAATTTTAGTGGTGCTCAATTTATCAGTCTGTTCACTTATGGTTAACACTTTCTGGTTCTGCTTAAGACATCTTTTTGCACCCAAGCTCATGACAATATTCTCGTGGTCTCTTTGATCATCACTCCCAGTTTTCACTCCTTAACTATGAGGAGAGCCATACTCAAGGTATATGTGGGTTTAAAATACAGTACTTTTCAATCTCACAATTGATAATGATTATTTACTCTAGATACCCTAAAATCTTAAAATAAGTTTAAAACAATGCTAATAACCAAGACTCCTATTTTCCATTGAAAAGTAAAAGTGATTAGTGAATAAAGTTATTGTTCATAGAAAAATTCTTAGGGATATTGGGTTGTTATTATTATTAATATATATNTTAGCTGAGCCATCCTGCCACCTGTTGGCAGCTCAGTGGCAGCTCAGCTCGGGCTGGGACTCGAACCGCTGTTGCTCAGAGCTCACACTCTTGAGCCAGCTCTTAACCAACTGAGCCACTCGGCCGGCCCTAACACTTGAATTTGTCACTAATGTTTTTCATTTCTTTTTCTTAGTTTCTTTTCTAACCCTCTTCTTATATATTTTAAGTTCAGTATTCCATTTCTTTAAACTTATATCTACAGCAACTTGAACTGCTTAGAGAGAAGTTCCTAATATAGCTCCTGAATTTTAGATTTATAGATCACCTGTCTTACCTGAAGGTCTACCTGGAATGACAGCTTTGAGCATGTACAACCCCAGTGTCTTGCCCCTGATCAGCAGCTACCTTATGAACCAAAGAGTTAGGCTTGGGACCTTTAATTGTTGTTAGATTTATTTAGACAGTCACAAACTTTGGGGACCTCCTTTTTTAACAGCAAGCTTTTGGTCTAATTTTATTATAAGCGGTTAAATTTAAGTTATAAAGCAGCCTCTTAACAGATGCCTATTTTTATCTGACAGTGTCCATGTTACCTCACTGAAGAAACATACAAGGTGATGATCTGTGTCTGTCTAGCTCTAGGACTTAGTATATCTAGCTTGGCTGAATAATTTTAATATTTTTTTCTTTAACCAATCAGCAGAAGCCTTCATAAGCTCTAAAATATTGCTCTGTGTAGACTGTCTGTATTGGTAGCTTATGTTTTGAATTTACAGCATTATAGTGTGCTGCATAGTATTTGGATTAAATTGTATATGATAAAACAATAAGCTCTGCTTAAAGTCTTTCTTGAATTATTTTCCCTCATCTGACTTTTTTCTGCATTTACTTATAAATGGCATCTTTCTTGTTGTGCTATATTCAATATATCTAACAGTACAGCTTTGCTTTTATCTGTATTTGACATGAGGCAGGTTTGAGGTGTTCTTTATTTTATAATAATCATGAAGTTTGAAAGCATCAGAATAAAAAATGTCATTAGTGAAATTATTATGACAGTGCCAGAAAGATAATTTAATTCAAATGCACAAGTAATAATGTGCCAATTTGAAGATTCCACATATCTTTATCAGAAACCAGAATATTTCTCTTTTCTAAATTATCTCCCTCCTTTTTCTAGTTTATTTGCTCATTGGTGAAAGTGATTTTATAGTTAGTGTATTATAAAGTGTAAAATGCTGCTGGATTTAATAGAATGTATGAAGTTTCATTTGGTCAGTTGGAGATTTTTAAACTGCTTGTATTTAGCATATCTGATCATATTATTTCTTGCTCCCTTCTCTCCTTTTAAGGGTATTTTCTATGTTGGCTACTTTTGGACAATTATGTACATTTATTCTTCCCATAAATATTTGCTCACTGTAGGATGTCAGATGAATGTTGTGGGATATATAAAGATAAACACTGCCCCTGCCTTCAAGAAATTTGCCCTAACTTACATAGATGAGAGATACATATTTATATACAAATAACAATAACAAAAGGTAGAGATTATGTGTCAAGGTGAGTGTGAATTAAGGAGTTTAGAGGAAGAAGGAGGTCCTGAACTGCCAAGTGTTGAAGGGGTCAATTAGGACAATGAGCCAAGCTGAAAGGAACAAACCTTTATTCACTATGATAGTATAAGCCAGAGGCCACAAAGGAAAGGGTGCTGCCTCTCCCAGTGTTTCTCTTTTTCCAGCAGAATGAGGTGAGGGTCAGGTAAATCAGAGAATGCTGCAGATGACGGATATATTGACATATATATGCAAAAGGTCCTTCCTGTTTTACGGACCTGAGTCTTCATACTCCACCCTTCACCCTTGCCCCTTTATGGAGGTCTCCTCAGAGGCTGCTGAGAAGGGTCTCAGCTGAGGGCCCCCGGCCCATAAGGGGGCCTCTGAATAGAGGTGCCTGAGCTAGGAATGCAGATGTGCATATGAGAAGGGGCTAGGAGCAGGGATTGCAACTCCCTCCAGAAACCGGCTGTACACCAAGGCTGGTGTGGGGTGGCAGCCCCCTACCCCAGGCCTGCCAGTGAAACCTTTATAATTGCTTATGGCTGGTCCTGAAAGAGCATACATAGGATCCTGGCCTGGGAGTTGGACTCCTCGAAGAGTTATTTAGCTTGGCAGGATCTGGGAGGCCTTCATCAATGGGAGTAACAGAGGAAAGGCACTGAAGCAGATTGCCATTTAGCTGTACAGGGCTCTCTAGGGGTGAAAGGGCTAGAAAAGCAGGTTGGGACCAAATCAAGAAGAACCTGAAATGTCAAGCTGAGTCATTGTAGGCAGTAAGGAAGTACTTGAAAATTTTGAAGTAAGAGAATCAGAGTTAAGTTTACCTGATAACAGTGAACTAAATGCATTGGGTAGCAAAGAGATCATTTAGAAGCTGGTAAAGCAATCCAGAGGAGAGTTAACAAAAAGCCTTAATTCCGATAGTTAAGAGGCCAAGGTGTCATTAAAGAGGCGGGGAGAAGGGTATCATGTTTGGCATAAGACAATAATAGCTATTGTACTTCTTGCAAAAATGTACTTAGGGTCGGAAGTCTAGAATGCTGCAGTGGAAGAGTTCTCCTTATTTAGCTTTTCTCTGAAATTTAAACTGCCACCCTCAGTAGTTATGTCTGTTTTTCTTTTCTCTCCATGCTTTCCTTTTATTTCTTTACTACTGGTAAGTTATAAATTTTTTGTTCTATAAATGCAGTGATTCAGTATAATTGAAATATTAATTTTTAAACATCTTTAGGATTTAATTTATTTTGAGTTTTTGAGAGTTAGTGAAAGACCTAATACCATGTCATATAATTTCATCTAAGGGGAGGTTAGGTTGGATCTTGTCCATTTTAGTAAGAGAAATGCTTTGCAATACTTGATACTACCCTGTGCATGGATTTGGGAAATTGCTGTTTCTCTTTTTAAGAAGAAAAGATCCAGAACAGAAATCACCTACTGCTTACAAAAAACAGTTATTTAGTTTTTATAATAAGCCTATTTTTATTTTTGCCTTTGCTTCTATTTAAATTTAATTGCAAGAAGTGTAAGCTATAATCCACTATGTGTCTTGAGTTCTTTTTCTCTTTTGTATCTTGTCTCATTTTGGTGGTGGTGCTTATTTCAACTGTGTGTTCTTTGTATAAGCCTTGCTCAGTCTGCATGATATCAGTGTTTGCAACCTGCTTTGTGTTGATGACCTACTACGTTTGAGTGTTTATCATTGACAACTCTGTGTAATAATCAGATAAAAGTAAATGGTGCTATTTGTGCAACATAATTAGAAAACCTTTTCAGAGATTCCTTTCATGATTTTTAATTGTAGCTTATGAAACATTTACAACATAGAATGTTTGTTTTTCTTTTTGTTCCTGTTTATATAGAAGTGGTACACCATCCCCCAAACGGACATCTGTAGGTTCCAGGCCACCAGCAGTAAGAGGCAGCAGAGATCGTTTTACCGGGGAATCATACACAGTGCTGGGTAGGACAAAATGAGTAATTCTTCATTCTCTCATGTAAAGCCATCACAGTCACACTGGTGGACTTCCCACTCACTCAGAGCTGGCGTGGCTGTCTGTGTATTGAATGAATCTTTGTCGAAGTTTCTCCCTCTTGAAACCTAATTACTTTGGCAGGTTTTCAAATTGTCTTATTGGTATGTTTCAAACTCTACTTCATTTTACATACCATTCCACATGTATGTATAACTCTTGAGGGCATAGTTCTGAAGGAGGAAAAGTTCTGAAGTCTTTTATGTGCAGAAAAATTAGTAATAAATATGCAAGTTAAGTTATAGAAGATACTCAACAATTAGTGTCAATGTGTTAACATCCTAAATCAATTTTTGTGTGTGTGCCATTTTATGGGACAAGGGATAGGTAAAAATCTTTGTGACTCATAAGGAAGAGGTAAGAGTCAAATGTACTTTTCTGATCTTTTGTAGGAGACACTGCTATTGAAAGCGGACAGCATTATTGGGAGGTCAAAGCCCAGAAGGATTGTAAATCCTACAGTGTCGGAGTAGCATACAAGACTTTGGGGAAATTTGACCAATTAGGAAAGACAAATACTAGTTGGTGTATCCATGTCAACAACTGGCTACAAAACACATTTGCAGCAAAGCATAACAATAAAGTCAAAGCCTTGGATGTTACAGTTCCTGAGAGAATAGGTGTATTTTGTGATTTTGATGGGGGTAAGTGTGCTGATTTTCTCCTAAGTCATTTCATCATAGTTGCTTGTGTTTCAGTATTTTTCACTGGTAATCATCTGTACAGAATTTCCATTAGTATTGTGGTAAGGGTGTTTTGACCTCTTAGGATTTGATCTCAAACATAATTTCAGCTCCATAATTGACTGGAAGAGGGTGCAATGTCTGCTTGCAGCCCTACAAAAGCACTCATCTATAATGTACTAAATGAGTCTGAAACAAAGATTTTGCTAATTTTAACCTTAAGGCATTAAATTTCTTTTGTCCGTTTTCATTTCTTCTTACCTTGTTTTATTACCTGCAAGTGTGGTGGAGTCAAATTTTTCTAGTTGGAGTAGACCTTAGAAATACCCAGTGCATCCGCCATCATAATATAAAACCCTTTTTACATTATCTCTGCAGGTAGTTGCCACTCCTGTGCTTGAAGAACTTTTTTTTT